GGCTGGCAGGCAGGCAGGTGGCTGTGCTACCTGGGAGCCATCGCTTCTGAGCACGGATCGCTCGCTGGCTGGGAAGCAGCCACTGCTACAGCAGTGTCAGCAGGTCTGGTCCACCCAGCCCACGCTTCCTTCCTGGGGAGCTTCCTGGGGTGTGAGGGGCAAGGGAAGGGGGGTGGGGGGGGCCGGGGCTGCCCCATTAAGTCTTGTGCAGCCAAGCAGAGAGCAGGAAGCAGCTCTGCTCCCTTGGAACTGCTGCCACAAGGAGCTCCACTCACAGGCATGAGGACGGCATGCAGCTGTGTGAGATATACAAGAGCAGAGGCGGACAGCCCCACAGGGAGCTCGCTACAGCCCAGCTGCTCCCATTCATGTGAAGCAGCACAGGCATGCTGCTCGTGCACCATCTTTGGGAGCCCTGTGGCTTGAGGCCACGACTGCAGCCGCTGGGCTCCAGCAGCTGCCGCATGCATGCAGCAATGACACTTGCAGCCAGAGAGGACATGTGAGAGAAAACTCAAAGCTCTCTCTTCGTTTTTATGTTTAACACCAAAAAGCCAGCAACTGAAGCTGTATGTGCCAGCAGCTTAACCACCTAGACATGAAGTGCACTGACAACTCCTTGCTTGAATAAAACCATACTGGGTTTGGAAGAGAAAGGAGAATGGCCAGGAATGGCCATTCAGGATGGATTTCCATCAAGCTGGTGAACCCCCTCTGCTCCAAACAGCTGCTTGGAAGGGACCTGTGTTGGCTCACAGTAAGAGGCTGTGACCCTTCTGCAGGCTGCTGAAACCCAGCACCTGTCCTCATGACCAGCAGCAGACCCGGCAAGCCGCACACACCTGATGGAAACTGCAAAGAGCTGCGTTACTTGAGCCCTCACCTCCCTCAGACATGTGGAGAATCACACTCTGCCATGGCATTTTGGTTCTAAGTCAGTTGAATGAATTCCAGAGTGCTGTCAGATTGACACAGGGGCTTTGCTCTTAGTAAGGCTGCAAATCCACAAATACTGTTACATTCCCTCCATCAAGTAATTTTAGTCTGTTTTTAAATAGAAGCTAAGCTAAGCAGAAGCTAGCAAATATTACGACAGCCTCTGATTCCCTCGGGGCTCAGACACTTGTGTCCTTACAATGCTTTATGATTTCCCATGGGCATAGGCCATAACCCCGCACAAGGGATTTCAAATAACGTGCATCTTACAAGCTAAATCAGTTAACTGATCATGCAACATCTGAGGAGTAAAGCAGCCTGGTATACAGAGCTAATTGTGTGCCAAGGACTAATGTGGCGTATGCCACTTCCTTTTCCAAAAAGGACTGATTTAGCAACAAGCAAATTACAGTGCCAATAAAAATCAGTCAGTTAGCAGGGATTTTTGAGAAGGAAACAGGTACGCAGCTACCACACTAGCAATTGCCTGAAAAAGGTATGAATGTTATCACCTGCTATCTCAGAATGAAGAAGCTAAAGTTTCCTGTGACAGGGAGAGTGTACAATTGCTGCTGCCACCCAAAATGGATTGGTCAGCCCAAAATAAAATCAAGTACATGCCGCTCACTGTTAAGATGAGGAAGAGCAGCAGCTCTAAGGCTGAGGGGACAAATGGAGCCCTGGCAACAGGCCTGGACAACTAACCTGAAGTTGAGTCCTGGGTGAGAAGGAAGAATTGAGCTGCACCACAATCGCAACATCCTCTCTTGCAAGCTCTCAAAATACTGTGTTAATGCTGCACCATTTTCAAACATAACCAGCGCTGCTCAAACGCTCTCATTACCTCTGTGGGAGACAACTGCCTTCCCTCTCCTCGGATTCCCCATTTGCCTCCAGCCCAGCCATCCAGCCTGAGCAGCTCTCAGGAAGAACAGTTGCCTGTCTATTTGCTAACATGAAGTGCTTCATTATTTTAATTTGTTTTGAGGACTCATTAAGTTCTATGAACAACTCTTTAGTCATAATTACCTCAATAGACTGGCATACGGACTCTAATGTGTAATAAAAACAGCGATTACAACACAGAGCTCAGTTCCCAGCTGTCCTGCGCTGCCATGTCATGTCCATACCTAGGGAAACCCAGGCATGTCTGAGCCACAGGGCCAAGGCCAGCTAATATGGCCCTGTAGAACACCGTGGGGGGATTGTGCTCAGCCTCCAAAAGTCAGGAGAGAGGTCTGGTCCCTATTTGCTGCTGAATTTGTGCCATACAGCAGGAGGCATGCCTCCAGCTAGGTCAAGGGTCCTTATCATCCCTTTGTGCTGCTCACGCAGATCTCTGCAGCAAGGCCTCAGCTCGTGTTGAGAGCCAAAACAAGCCTTGCATTTCCTGGCTAGCAGGGACACAGGCTGCCTTCTGTACTAGCCCAGTCCAATCTAACCCCAGAACTTCTTTTGCCAAGAAAAATACTCCTGCCTCAGCTATCTTTACAGTAATTCCTGTCCGACTTCAAAGGATAAGCTAACAATGAGCAATTAATGCTGTCATGTTCCCTTTCAGGTGGATCACTTCCTTGTCTGAAGCACTGTCACGGACTTAAAACTGAGGTGACTGCAAGAAAAGTCACTTCCTCACAAGTGATGGTAGGCAGGGAGCCACCAGGCAGGCCATGGGAAAAGGCACTGCGACAGGGCCCGGCCCTGGAGCTTCCTTCCTCCCCCTGGCTTCTGCCAGCCCAAGTCTGAGCGGGCCCTGGGGTCCCATGCTTGTGGGGAAGGAGGAGGTGCAGAAGTCAGCCTGTGCAATCACCTTCCAGCATCTCCCCGGCTCCCTTGGGGTAGGTGAAGAGGGCCTTTCGGGGCGGTGCCAGGTCCGAGACACTGAAACCGGATCCTGTCACAGAGCTGCCACTGACTCCGCCAGCTGAAGAGGATGAAGAGGAGGCGGCCATTTCACCCCGTCCCAACCTGCAGCCATGGAAGGGAAGCAGAGCACAGTTAGGAAGGGCACCTCAGCAGCAAATTTTCCCACTTCTGGGCCAAGACGTCAGTGCTAACGGGTGCATATAGGACCGGGAGCCTCGTCCCAAACACCCACAGGGGCAGGAAGCCAGCCACAGGGTGCATGCCCCGGCCTGCGCACATCCGCTCTGGCTGCACCGCTGGAGTTCCCCAGCACATCGCAGCGGTGGGGCACGCAGCCAGGCACGCCCGTCACGGCTGACTCCAGAGCCGGCCGCTGACAACGGCTGCGGCTTCGCACCCTGCTTAGCCGCAGGCAGCTGTCACACCCCACGGCAGCACCCCCGAACGGCGGGCAGCCCTCGGGCCGACCCTCGTAGCGAGGGGCCTGAGAACGTCGCGGGATTGCTGCAGCACATAAAAATAACCTGGTGCAGGTCGCTGACCCAGCTCCGCGGGCCGTCAGCTGCTTGGCTCTGCTCCCGCTCCCGAGAGCCATAAAAAGACTTCTTTATTTTGGCCTCATTTCCAGGAGCACAAACACAGAGAAAGCCCCACTCCCTCATACAAGCTGGAAGCTTGCAGGACTGCCAGTTCCCGCGCACATCCTGCGCGAAGCCGCACCGCGCCCCGGCTGCAGCAACAGCGCCCTGCCTTGCATCAGCGCCCGCCTCGCGTCAGCTGCCCTCACAGCGTGCCCCAGCCTCCTGCAGCCACAAACAACATCTGCCTGTTCAGCACAAGGCTGGCCGCTGCTCGCCTGGCTTCTTCTCAGTCTTTTTAGAGCGACTGTGTGTTGCTGCGTTAGTGGGAATGGGACGTTTAACACTTATCAGGTACCTCCCTCAACGCACAGAAGCCACTGCTGGGCCGTTCTAAGTGACGGCGCTTGCTGCTCCAGCACAGCGCTTAACGCTGCATCCCTCCCCACTTCAGGTGTCTCTGTTCAGCACCTTTTGGCAGGCTCTTTTACGTGTCGTTGAATCATACAGTGCCCTATTACACCAGATATTTGGAAGAAATTCTTTACTGGGAGAGCGGTGAGACGGTGGAGCGCCCAGCCCACCGAGGGGTGAATGACCCCCCCGCGGCGTTCATCGCCTGCCATTTTGTGTGTGGGACGGGGCTGCCCGCCCGCGCGTGCGCCGCCCCGCCCCCTGCCCACACTCCTGCCCCGCATGCAACGGCTTCCGCGGCGCCAGTGCGCCTGCGCCGCGCGCTCCCAGGGCGGCACCCCCCCCAGCCGCCGCGCATGCGCCACACCGCGGCCCCTCCCCGGCTTCCGTAGCGAGCCGCTTCCCGGTGAGTGCGGCTCTTGCCGCCGACGCTCCGCTCCCGCCCGGTCGAGCGCCCTCCCTCTCGCCGCCCATCCCCTTTCCGCCTCCCTCTCGCTGCGAGGCTCGACTGCCCGCTCCGGGCCTCACCTGGGCGCCCGCACCGCTTGGCGCAGGCGGCGCGCGTGATCGCGCTCGCGGTGCATGCTGGGCCGGGAGGGCGGGCGGGCGCGCACTGCGCGCGGCCCCAGCCGACTTCCGGTGGGGGAAGAGGGCGGTAACCTTGGCAACGGCGCCGTCGTGGGGCGGGTTCGGGGGTCGGTGGTTCTGCGTGTGTGGAGCGAGGTTTGGGGGAATGGAAGCCATGTGGCGGCGAGCGCCGCGGCTCGGCACGCAGCGTGCACGGGAGCCTCGGCAGCGGGCTCTGTGCCTACCCTGTCAGTGCCGTGGTAGCGCTCCCACAAACGCTCCGACGCAGGGCGGCGTGCTGCCGGAGCTCTTGTTCGCTGGCGGGAATCTGTTCTAAAAGCGCCTGGGCAAGCGGAGTTGTTGCACGTAACCGTTTCGGTGGCGCGTATAGGTTTGAGGGCTGACCGACCGTACTGCTTGCCCTGCTGCTGCACGCCTGCGTGTGTTTTCCACAGCGAAAATCACTCCGCGTCTCTCTGGAGCACGTCCAGGATTGCCTACGTTTGTCTCAAACTCGGTGTATTTTTTTCACGGGGAATCTTGTTTTTTGTATTTTCTGTGGAAATAAAAGCACCATGTAAGCTCTGAGAAACACGGGGGCCACACAGAGTGGTGCACTGAGGTGCACTGAGATGCAGAAATGCTGAAATGCTGTACGGGGCTTACATGGTCTTTAATGTTTTAATATCTTTAGGCTGAAGGGAACCTAGGTGCCTGATGTCCTGTAGCAGGGCAGCTGGAGGGGAAGCTCAGCTTTCCTCAGTAGAAATAACGAAGGGCCCACAGAAGGGCAACACAGCTGTGAGCTGGAGCCAGGTGTCTTATGGGAGTGGCTGAGGAAATTGGAATTGGGATGGGTCAGTCTGGGGAGCAGGGGAGACCTCATCGCTTTCTGCAGCTCCTGAAAGGAAGTGGTGGAGAGGTGGGGTTGGCCTCTGCTCCCAGGTAACGGTGAGAGGTGACGGCCAGGGGGAGTTGTGCCAGGTGAAGGTCAGATTGGGAGTTAGGACACGTTTCTTCTCAGAGTGGTGATGCATAGGCACAGGCTGCCTGGGGAGGTGGGGGGGTCGCCATCCCTGGAGGTGTTGCAGAGCTGTAAAGATATGGTACTGAGGGACGTGGGCAGTGGTCTGGTGATTGAACAAGATGACCTTAGGAGTCGTTTCCAACTGTAATGATTCTATGCAAAAAGATAATGTGAGATATGCTGGTGTGGTTGGGTCACGGCCCTTGCAGAGCTGCTGAATGCTGACAGGGTTTGAGGAGTTCAGAGAAAGCTCTCAGGGCTCACCTGCCCTCACACAGCTGCGTGTATGTTTGCAGCTCACTGTCCTTGGAAGAGCAGTGTGATGGATGTCCTACGGCCCACCCTGGTCAGGATCGGTGGGCGAGTGTACAGGAAGAACGTCATTCACGAGCGAGTCCAACAGCAGGAGGAGGAGGACTTCTACACAGGTGTTGTGCCGCACGGGATCACTGCAGTGGCATGGGACAGAGCTGACACTTGGTGTTGCCTCTTGTGTCTGTGTGCATGAGGGCCTGTCTGTGTGGTGGAATGAGCTGTGAAAAGCAGGAAGAAAAACACTTTGTGTTGGGTGATCGCTGTGACCAAAGAGTGGATGTAGCCATAATTACTCAGTATGAGTTTGTGTGTCTGTGTTGCTGGCTGTTGATCACTTTTGCTGGCACTGAATGATCGCTAGTAAAGAAAAAAAAAATCCACACCTTGGCTCTGTAGATCTGTTTTTCACGGGTTCTGCTTCTCTTTTTATTGTCTTTCTGCCTACATGTTTGTTGTAGTTCTGTGTGAGTTGTAGACAGAAAAAAAGTCCCTTTGTTATCTTTCAGAGAGAATTGTGACCGTGGTGTTTCTCCTTTCCACCCTGCCCTTCAGTGCATCACACAAAGCAGTTATAAGCTGCCTGCTACCTGGATCCATCCCTGTATGTGAGAGGAAGCATAGAGAACCCCCTCAGCCTCTTTCTGGAAAGTGTATTTGATTTTAACAGGCACAAATCTCTGGACCTTTGAACTAAACTTCCTCACCTTCTATTTTTATTCTTCTGCGACTTGTAAATTTCTGCTCCAGTGTCTCCCTGTGTTGTTGGAGAGCGGTGCAAAACTTGGAGGAGGGCATTCCCACCAAGCTGTTGCACAAATTGCAGCCAGGATGAAGCCTGGGCTCTGAGAGTACAAGGGCTCTGCACCTCCCAAGCAGGGCAGATTTTGAAGCAGTCATTATGTTTTTTTTTTGAAGCTGGTACAAGGTGAAATAAAAAGCAGTTAGTTGCAGCAGAAGGGAGTATGTCTGTTGCTATCTTCAACCTCAGGGGAAGGCTGTGAGTCTGTTGTCCTACATAGCGCTGCTTTTCCTAGTAGGGCCCAGTGACTGTGCGGATGAACCATGCGATGCCTTTGTGGTGGAAGAGACTGAGAAAGGCTTCCAGTGCAGAGTGGAGGTTCCCAGCCCCTTATACAAGTGAGCCTATGGGGTTCTGGTTTCTGTGAATTGCCTTTGACTGGGGAAGCTTTTCTGTGCAGAATATATTTTGGCGGGGTTCAGGGTAAGCGCCAGATCTCTGTTTTGTGTCTGTCCTGCTTCTGGGAGAGGAAAATTGGCAATGCCACGCTTGACTCCTAGCCTTTGCTGTGGCAGAGACAGCAGGTGGTGCTTTCTGGCTGGTAGGAGAGTGTTTGAGCATCTCTTCCCTTGAACATGAAAGTGTCAGCGAGAGTGGAAAAAAAGGAGAAAGAACTGGGGTGAGCAGCCTGCCAGGGGGATTTGTGAAAGCTTTGAGAGAAAGCACACGCACCTGGAAGCGGCTGTTGACTCAGATCTGATGTTCACTGGGAAGCCTGCCACGTTCAAAGCTTTATCCAGTTAGTTTTTACAGTTTTATGGGTTAAATAGTTTTACTGAACTGCAGAGAGGGAAAGGTATTCTTTTGTTTTTTGGATGCAGGCAAATGACTATCTTGAGCAACGCACCAACTAGGAAGTGTCATTAGCTCTTTGTCTGGGGTTATTGGGGGGGGAAAAGTGATAACGTGGATGGTAATGCTGTGGCAGGATGTGCCTCAGCTGAAGCAAGTTGTAAGCCACTGCCTGTCATCCTGCGGCCACAGGCTGATAGCAGCCACAGGGCCTGCATCCTGAGCTGGTTGCATGTGTCCTCTGGCATGGACATGTTGTGTGTCAGGGGAGCCACTGGGGCAGCTGGGCTGTGGTCCCTGGTGAGGAGTGGTCCAGCCATGCTGTGCTGTTCTGCTTTTATACCTCCAGGTACATAATAGGGAAGAAAGGAGAAACCAAGAAGAGACTAGAAACAGAGACTCGAACCTCAATCAGCATTCCCAAGCCTGGAGTGGAAGGAGAAATTGGTGAGTGTTCTTTCACTGGCTCTTCCATGGACATGATTTGAGCAGGGAGGAGGAATAGGAGGTGTTTTCCTTTAACTCCTGCTTCTGGCCCTGGCTCTCTTTATAGCCCTGGGAAAACCACCTCCCTTTTGAGCTTTTTTTTCCTTGACTGTAAACCTCTATAAAACAGAGTAAGAATCTTGAGGAGGGGGGAAAAAATTCCCTTTTAAGCCTATGCATACTCTCACTGAAGTCACTTCTTAGATACAAATGACTGGCCTTTGAACTTTGGGCTTTGGACCTGAATGTGCTTTTTTTTGCTGTAGTTATTACCATATCCATTACTAAGGACTTGCAGTATACATCTAGAAAAAAGTGATATCTACTTAGACATGACGTAAACTTCATCACGTTCTTTAATATAAGCAGTATTTTGATGATGTTGCTGTCTTTCTCATCGTGAGAGCAGGCATCCTTGTACCGTATGTTCCTTCTCATCACTTGCAGTGACTTAACAAGACAGGAGGTGTTGCTCACTGGGTTTCTGCCTAAGTGGGAATCCAGAGGGCTCTTGCTGTGCGGCGTAGAGTTACGCTCATGACGGGGTAGGGAGGATTAGGTGACAGGGGACCCAGCTGTCGTACTATGCAGGAATGTGGTGGCACTTCTCAGTAAGTGGGGCTTGCCTTTTTCCTGAGAACTGTGAAGAACTGTTTGGAAGGCTAAGAGACGTTGTAAACATGTAATAGTAGGAAGCCAAGAAAATCGTGCTCTTTGCAGTTCTTTCCTTTCAGGATCAAGTGTCCTCTGTTTGGTGCATACACAAACAACGTAGGGCATCCTGATCTTTTGTAGATTTCCTTTGTCGCTTCTACTAAGAGGCTGCTTTCATGAAAACATGAAATAATGCTCTAGAAATCTGAAGAGCCGCTGAAGCGAGTGACTCTTTGCAATTGTTTTTTAGACACACAGAGGCAGCTTTCTTGTGAGCAGAGGGATACTTCAGGCATCATCCTGCCTTTGCAGAGGAAAGTACAGTCGTGCCAGGCATTTTAAGTCAAGCAGGCAGTCTGGCAAGATTTCTCTGTGCGTGGCTGGGAGTTTTAATTCCTGTCACTTCGGTGAGCTCTGGGATAACAGTAGAGAGGTGCTGTGCAGGTTTTTCTAACTCCTTTTTGGCAGCTCCCGAGTGAAATGTTCCTCCCTTCCCAAGATCCCCCAGTATCGAGCAGATCAGTAGGATGCACGATCACGGCCCGTTTACGTACCGCGTATTTCGCGCGAGTGCCAGCGGTCTCCCTGGAGCGCCGTGAGAAGTGGCCGCGTGTCGCTTTGTTTCCTTGCAGTGATCACAGGGCAGCAGCGCGGCGCCGTCATCTCGGCCCGGACGCGCATCGATGTGCTTCTCGACAGCTTCCGTAAGAAGCAGCCCTTCACACACTTCCTGTCCTTGGCTCTCAACCAGCCCGTCATCCAGGAGAAGTTCCTGCAGTTCAAGGAGGAGGTGCTGGAGAAATGCTCACAGGTCAGAATCCACGCGAGAGCTCCAGCTGGAGGAAACCCCTTCAGCAGTCTCTCATTCGCTGAGAGAGGCTTTTGCCCTTTACCTCAGAGGCCTTATTCTTTGCTTCCTTTCCTAGCGGTGTATTTCTTACAGGCCTTTTGCTTAAGTTGGTGGCTCTGCTGTGAGTTTATTGGGAAACCTTTTGGAATGCAGAATGGCTTAGTTAATTTGCTGTAAAATATGTTGTTCTCCTTTGAGATTTTCCTAGGTGGGATGGTATTTTTAAGATTCAAACAAGGGTTGTTTCTTCTGGGTTTTTGATTTTCAATAGGAAAGGTTCTAAATAACATAACAGGCCTTTCTACATTTAATATGATTTCACGTAACTGTGAAACCAAGGAGCGATTCACAAGTTTGCTGCTGCTTCTATTTCACTTTTCTTTTGGTTACTGGCAGTGGATGAGGATGGGTGTCAGGAAATGACTCGGTAGCACACGCCATCCTGCTAATGTAATCACTTCCCTTCTTCCCCTGAGAGCCGGTGCTGACAGTCCCTCCTACTTGCCTTCAGATCTGAGAGCACCGAGAGCAGCAGGAAACAGCTAGGCATAGTGAAAATAGGGATGGGATGAAGTGAAAGTAGAGCATTCCCTGTTGTATTTTAGTTGGCTGCTGCTTTGACAGAAATGGTATCTCAGTGCACAGGGCCAGCCTGTGAAGAGGGAATGATGTTATTAAATTGCTGTGTCCTCTGAGTCTGCTCGGAGGACATCTCTAGGCAAGAGGAGTGAGTTCCCCTTTGCAGCAGCTGAAGGTTAGATTGTATGCATGCAGCAGGGTTTATGGGCTGGTATTTTTACCGTTACATCCGTTGCTCCTGCTTATGCCTTTCAAAGGGAAAAGCATAACCTTCCTAATTGCACAGCTTGAGAAGTATTGTTTCCTGTGTGTTTATGCCTTGTGTGTGAATTACCTGATGTCTGGGAAGATTTTTCATGGTTGCTTGTACACCAATTGTCTCATCTCTAACAGCAGAACTGGGCTGGCTTTGCAGTCTTGTTTCTACAGGCAATTCTGATTTAAGTCCCTCTTTTCCACCCAGCTTCTTATTTCTCTGACATTTTTAAGAGGTTTCTATCACTCAGATTTTCACCTAATGTCAAGTACAACTGGTACTGGCCAATAGATACAGGATCTGGCAATGAGTGCAATGCCATGAGAACTCATTCCTCAGGCTAGGAGACTATCACTGTCTTGATTTTTCAGTCCCACAATCTAGCATTAACTACTCCTATATTAATGCTTCCCTTTATTAAATAAAAGCCCTAAAGTTAGGGGAATGGAAACATCAGACTGAGGACAGAGCGAGCCAGCCCTGGAGCTGGTGTCAGTGGTCGCCTGGCTCCCCCTGTTGGTTGTTCCAGTGCTTGTGGGGGTCACTGAGTTATGGGGAGAGAGGCACCTTTTGGGGGAACTGTTAACTTCAGCATGGGCTCTGGCAGTGTCTGCTCATGCCTTTGGCCCTGGACTGAGACCACTGCATTCATCCCGGTGTTTCTCTTGTCCTTTATCCCCTTCCAAAGTGGCATATGGCTGCTACAGTCCTTTGCTTGAATCTCCCTTTACCCATCAGTCCTTTCAGATATATCTAGCCCTGCTCTGCTTGCCTTGGATCCTCCTGCTTATCTGATCTTCCACCTCTGGTTGTCTGCCAGCAGGTCTCGTATCTTCCTGCATAGAGCAGAACCTTGCTCAGTTCTGGCTTCCTGGCTGCTCAGTATAGTGCAAATCTTTTCACTGCAACATCTCTACGTTGCAGCTTCTTCTATTCATCTGCAACTAATGCCATCATCCACACTGTCATCCCGTGTCTTTATTCCTGCCCTATGTGGGGCTCACCTGAGCTCGCTCCTCCCCTTGCTGAACATGCATTTTTCTTGCCTGCTGCCTTGGTTGCATCTCTGCAGCCCACCATCAGCTCAGCCTCTGCTGGTGGTCTGCCTTGTTCTCCACGTGCCTCCTAATCTGCCCCTGTTGTATGATTTGTCTCCTGCTCGCTCTTAGCTGTCAGTTTGCATCATATCACTGCCTGCCATCCACTTGGAAACGTTTTCATAAATTTATCCTGGTGCTTTCCCCAGCATTGTTAGTCACATTCCTAAGGAGCTGTCTGGGAACATCTGCAAAACTTCCTGTGCCTGCTTGTCCTCCATGGCTGCAGAAGCTCAGGTTTGGTCACAGAAGTGCTGAGACCACTGCTTGAGACCAAGCTAACCTTGTCTTCTCTAACCTTCTGTTTCTTCTGCAGCCTCTTCATGCTGTGTCTGGACAGCACGGCATCAGCAAAGCCCTGCTCGGTGGTTAGGGAACCTGCAGGCTGGAGCCACTGGCTGGAACTGTGCTCAGAACCAGCACTTAGACGTGACTCCTCCTCATTCCAGCAGCAGCACTCAAGACATCCTCTCTGCATTTTGCTGCTGTTGAGTCATCTGGGCACTGTTGGGAATCTCCCCAGGCAGTGGCAGCTGGGGCTGCCCTGCAGCAGTGTGGGTGCAGGGTGCCCCTGATCTGGGGGTGCAGGGTTGTATTGACTCTGTTCAGTGGCCCGTGTCTCTCAGGAGGCTTGAGAACTTTCATTTTTAGCTTGAAATATGTAAGTCAGTCAGAGGCAGGTATTTGGAGGTTTGCATATGGATAGCCAAGGAATACACAGTGCTTTATTTTTTCTATCCTTCCTTCTCCTGGTATTAGCAAAAAGGCTTCTAGATACATTGCTGCCTGTTAGTTCAGGAGTGTATTGCAGCCCTGTATGTCTCTCAATCACTCTGCAGCCAATAATGCCACTCTAATACCACTTTATCTCACAGCGGGGTCTGCTGGAAAGCACATCAGTAATGAAAAACAGTAATTCAAAACTGTGCCTCACAGAGCAATAAGAGAGCTTATAGATTTGTCCAAAGCAACGGGATTTCTCAGGATGCTTAGAGACATCTGAATAGATTTCAGGGACACAAGTGTTGAGCTTCACTTCCTGTTGCAATTTGCTGGTGCAAAGCATTGCAGCATTAGGTAGACTCTAGTCTTTGCATGAACCTCACTAATAGTGGCAAGGAAGGGGGAAAGTGGGGGGTGTGCGTGTGAGGGTTTCTTCTGGCCATTGAGCATTTGTGAGGGACTTTTCTCTCTGAAGCAGTTGCCATGACAACCATTCATTTATATTTTACAGCATAGGGTATGTTGGTGGTGTTATGCTTTCTGACTCTGTTTTTTTGTCCTCGAAACTTTCTGTTAGACAAACGTTGTGTCACGATACAGAGCGCTTTGGGTGTCATTCATATGTGGCATTAGGGCAGCCAGCCAGCGAAGCAGAGCTGTTTTGAGGCTGATTTAGTACAGAGATAAGGAGGTGGCTCACCTGGCTTGGGTCCTTAGTGGTGTGGTGCAGCGGGAACTGAGGCTGTCTGGGTGACCTTGGGAGTCTCCTAGCACAGCCATGCTGGTGTTGGAGTGAGGAGGACTGAAGCATTTGTTGCAGGTGGGTAAAGGAAAAGGTTTAGGTTCAGCAGTGAAATTGCCATGAAAAATCATGGTTGGGTTTTTAGAGCTGTGCAAACACAGCATTTGCATTGTTAACAGGCTGCAGATGTAGCATGGAAGAGAAATATGATTGCTGTAATAATGCCAACCTGTAAATATCTAACGTTGTTAATGAGGTATTACATCTCACAGTGGAAGGGACAGAAAATGGGAGGGGTTTTTCAGCCTGCAGTTCTTCAGTCAGTTCAGGAAATGCTGTTTTTCTGGCTCGCTCCTTTGTTTGTGGGTTGGGGTGGGAGAGGGCATGTAGCTGGCATGCACTATCCTGCTATTAGGGAAAAAACAGAAAGCTGTCTGCAAATATTGGAAGCTCTTAAGACAGCAGAAAGGATGCAGCCAGGGAGGAAGAGCTAAGCAGTGTGATCCTTTGCCTTGTCACGCAGAAAGCTCTGCTTTGGTCTTTGGTTTCCCTGCTAAAGTGTCTTAGATTTATAGGAACAATGTGCTCAGACTTTGCAAAGAGGTGAAGGCTCCTAATAAAAGTCTTTCCTTGTTCCATCTACAGTAGGAGAGCAAAGGTAGAGGATCTAAGAGGGAGATCTAATTTAAAAAAAAAAATTGTTAAAGGTACGTGCATGGAAATGTGTTGTTTTTTGTGCCCACGACAAGTCAGTGTCTGAGAGAGCGGCACAAGCTCAAATGGGCAGTCACACACAGATGATCCATGTGGGGAACGTTCTTCCTGCCTCTCAGTGCTTCCTTAGGTGGTTTGAGTGGTGAATTTTTGAGAGAAGCAGTAGGGTCTGTTTTATGTGTTTGTATCTTCCAGCAAATCCCTGCAAACACTTGGCTTTCACGTTCCCCTGTGGAATACAGGGGATTCTCCTGCTTGTCCTCACCACTCTGGTGCTGTGCTTTCCATTCTGCTCCTTGCTGTGCATGTGATGCAAGGAATGCTCACCTGTCACGACCCAGGGGAGGAAACTGGTGCTGGAGGAGTTTGTCACCACAAGGCACTCGGGTCCGTGTCTTGGAGTCACCGAATCACTGAGATTGGAAGAAACCTCTAAGATCATCCTGTCCAACTGGCCATATGTCCCCCTGGACACAGCAGTTAAGCATAGCAGAAACGGGACTTGGATAAGTGGGTTCAAGCACTTTTGCATTTCACTGAACTGAGCCCAAGTCAGAAGGGCTGCTAAGACATCTGCAGAAATGTTGCTTGCTCCAGAGAGAGCTACTTCAGATACAGCATCCCGCTCACACATGGGGGAGGTGGGATCTTCCGGCCTGTGAAAGAGCTGTAAGTGCTGTATGTGGGAATTTCAGGAGCTGTATGAAACACCAGGGGTAAACCAGGAGACTTGTCTGGGTCTTGACCTCTTCTCTCTGCCCTGCTCTTCCCTGCTGGCTGTCCCAGCAGCGCAGTGTGCAGAGGTGCCATGCCAGCACTTTGTCAGCTGTCAGCCCCCACTCAGGCGCTGGGAAAAGGCTGCTTTTGGGGCAGGTCAGTCCCTGTCCCAGAAAACAAGGGTTGGGGTTTTGCTTTCTGTCCTGTGAACTGCTTTACTGTGCAGTCTTCATCACTTGTGTGCACTGTGTGAGTGACGTCAGATGCTTGTCTCTGGCAAGATGGACTCAAACTTTCTCCTGGTTGCTATTACCAAGCTGTTGTTTTGTGTTGGGCCAAATATCCCCCGGCTATGGGTACCTTTAAAAGAGAAAGACCGATGGAGAGGAATTGTGTCTGGTCCTGCACATTAACAGCAGTGTGAGTGAAAGGGAGCAAAAAGGCTTTAGCTGCCTTCCCTCTGGGAAGGAGCGAGATGGAGGCACCCACCTTTCCTGTCCTATGCTCAGGGCATGCCTAATGTAATTCATCTGTGCTCGTTGCAGGTTGCTGCATGGTGCTGAGGCTTGCAGCATCCTTTGCCACTAGCAGGATTTGGGGGCTCAGCCAGCAATAAAGCAATTAGCAAGGCGAAGGCAGGTACGTGCTCTGTCAGCTGGGGACGCTGAGTTTTGCTCATCTAGCCCAGCCTGTAAGTGCTGCTGTCAGCAAGGATATGGGTGCTGCCACAGCATGAACAATGCCTGATGAGATGTGAGGCATTACACCAGCTGAGGGATGCAGTGTTTAAACGTCAGAGAGGTTTTATTTCAAATTCTGAAGCTCGGTTAGAAACTTCAAGGCTGTCATTTGCAGTCATTGGGCTTTTATTTTCGGACATATAAATGCTTCAGCAGTGCTGGATTCTTCTGGAGCTTAAAGCGGAGGTTCGTCAGTGTGCTGATGGGAAGTGGCCACCAAGTGGAAATAATTGTTTTAATATGGGTGTGTTAACCATCCTCAAAGTATTTTTATGAATATTCGAGAACAGAAAAGCATGTTCCTTAAAGCTGAGCACTGCTCCACCTGGGAACAGTTCTTCCTCAGCAACAACACGTAGCTTTTCTTTTAAAGGGAATTTAAACTTAATTCATCTCAGCAAACTATAGGGCACCTGGGAATGAGAAAAATGTAATTACCAGAGCTGGTATGGGCTGTGCTTGTGTTGTGAGGTGCAGCCAGTGTTTAGACAGGATTTAGAGGCTATTTAGAGCTTGCCACTGCAGCTGGCTCCAGCTTTATGGCACAGAGAACACACTTCGCTCAAGTTCTAATTTTGCACTGACTTGCGCCGTGTCCATGGCTGGTGGCAGTCACTGCTCTGATGGCCGTGGAGGTCTGGAGCCTGCCCTAAAGAGCCCTGATCTGCCTTTGGACCTCACTGCAAAGGCAGGTGGTGGGCAGGCGTGTGGTGCTGGGCTCTGCCTCGCTCCCAAAGTCTGTGCAATTCCCCCTTGTTTCGACTTTAAGACTAGCAACTTGCCTAGCGATGCAGAGATGAGAGGTTTGATGCTGGTGGCTTGCTGCTTGTTCCCTGCTATGTGGATCCCTCTGAGAGGTGTTGTGTACATGCTTGAGATGAGATGCTGTGTTTGACTGATTTGTAGGATCACGGGGTCAGCAGCAGCCTGTTCCAGAACCCTGCAAAGCTCCACCTGACACTGGGGACGCTGGTGCTGCTGAACGAACAGGAGATCCAGAGAGCGTGTGACCTCCTGCAGCAGTGCAAAGAGGACTTTGTAGAGTAAGTGTTGCAAAGGGATGTCAGCACCAAGGGCGTGTGTAGGGGAAAAGAAGCAAGCTGTCTTTGATGAGGAATGATGAGGAGAGCAGCCTGACAGTGTATCTAAATTCCAGAAATTTAGGAGGCTGAATGTTTTGAGTAGGGGCAGCAGAAATCGCCAAGAAATCACAACCAGAGGGCACAGCAGTACTCTCAGCTCAGTCCCTGCAGACCTGCTCCAGACATTTCTCGCACCAGTCCCATTGTTTTTGTGGGAGCAATTCCTTGCTGTCCCCTGCCTGCTGCAGGGGGAGGGATGAGCTCCAGCACCTTCCCATGTTGCCTACAGCGGGCTCCAGCACACTGCTCCTTCCTTCCTGCCTCAGAGCAGATGCTGAGGTGTCCTTGACATGCATTTCTGGGTGCAGGGAGCGTGTAGGGAAGGCAGTGTGAGCCATGTGAGTCATCACTCTGAACCATTCAGCACTGGTTCAGGAACTGGGCTTTCTCACCGCCTGTTAACACGGAACTGCAGATATTATGGCTCGAACTGTAAATGTGGTTGAATGACACTGTAATTAGCTTATCTCTGTGCGGCTTAGAAATTGGAGATGGCCTGAGGGGCTGCTGTCTTTATTTATTTATTTTTGCAATACTTTTGCACGGAGGGCATGGATTCCTTATTTGTATTTCTTTATTTTCAACTTTGGTGTGTGAAGAATGAGCCACGCTGTGCTAGCTGACACCTGTGGGAATCAGTGCATGGCCAAAATTCTTACCTCCTCTAAAAGGAAGGCTCCCTTTTTTCAGCTGCTGACCAGAAATGCAGAAGTATTTTCAGGGGAAGGAGCTGCCCACAGCAGTTGAAGAGTGCCACCCTCCTCAGGAGTGGATTGAGCTGAGACAGAGAAAATCTTGACTCTCCACTGCCTTTGGAGGAGGAGTCAACACTTGACTGTGTTGACAGGTATTTCCCCTGCCATAGCCAAATAAATAGGCCTTTAAAATCAATTTAGGCTCCCTTCCACCCATATGAACCTTCATTAGCATTCATTTATTTTTACTAAATGCAAGCAATACTGTCTGAAAGTCAGTGTGCCCTCTTTTTACAATTTTTGGGTATGTGGCCTCAAGTGTTTGTAGTCTTACTTGTGCTGTTTCCCTCTCAGTAATCATACTGTTCCCTGGTGAGTCTTACTGGGAACCTCTTAGGCAGGCTGCACAAAAGCAAGCAAGGTTAGAGCAAAGTCACACTCCCACTTAACTTGTGGTCATTACTTCTGCCTGCCCTGCACTTCCCACAAGACCTCGGCGCTGATAGAGGCGGAGGCACTTGCTCCTGGGAGCTCTTGCTGCAGCACACGCCTCCTGTGATGTGCTCCTGGAGAGCAAGGAGGTGGTGTGCTTGGGAGCAGATAGGCTTCACGGTGTGCTGCTGGGTGTGGGAGTGCATATTACATCCTCACGCGTTTTAGGTTTCGCGTTCCTGCCAGAGTAGCTGGTGACGGTTTTTAAAGCAGTTCTATGTGCTCCCAGCATTTGTAAGTGGATGTTGAAATGTACTTAAAACTGCCTTCTGCATCAAGTGCTTTTGCCAGTGAAAATCGATGAACTGGAGGCTTTGTGTCACAGTCGCTCTCTTTGTGGGGAAGGCAGCAGCTTCTCTGGAATGAGGAGTTACACCATTTGACTGCTGATAGCTTTTGTAAAAAGTAAATAGAGATTTCTGCTTTGAGATGGCCTGTGAGTACTGACAAGTTGACTTAGTGTATGTCTGAAACAGTGAATGTATGAATTCAAATTTAAATGTTTTTGTGGCATTTTTTGAGATGATGAGACAATAGCAACTGTAGTTTTTCAAGCTTTAGAAATTAGGCAGGAGGAATGCTACATGCTGCCTTTCTAAAGCAAGTGTGACGTTTTGCTTTTTCTTCCATTTTAGCCAAATTACGGGAGGCAAGCCTCTGAGCGTGGAGGTGACTGGGGTGGAGTACATGAACGACGACCCTGCCATGATGGATGTCCTTTATGCCAAAGTTCACATGAAGGATGGCTCAGACAAGTGAGTTCCTTCTCCTTCAGCCCCCAGAATGCAGGCAGTGCTGAGCAGCAGCAGGAGAAACCTCTGCTGTCCAAAGTCTGCGGGTGCTGCTCGCGGTCCGTGGGCTGGCAGTCGGGAAGATTAAGTCATTCTTGCTTCCTAAACCAGTTAAGGCAGTGATGTGTTTGGTCTTTGAATCAGTCTGTGGTGCTGTTGTGAAGGATGTCATTTGTTTCTGTAACAGTCTATTGGAGTGAGTAATGGTGCTGTGGCTCAGGCAGTGAGGAGATAGGCAAGGAGGTGCTCCCCAGGTGACTTAAAACAAGGACAACTTGGCCTCTGCTGCCTGGTTTCCAGTGGATGGACCAGGTGAATCTGGATTTTATTCTGCAGCATTTCATTATTCTTAAAAGCCAGTTACACAAAAAAGTCCTTAGAAAAATGCAGCTTGGTCACAGAGTTGTTTTTTGTGTCCCTGAGTAGCCTGAAACACACGCTGGGTGTGAAACACCTGTCTTCTGACCTCTGGTGTGAAGTGTCAAAGCCAGGTTGGTGCGTTTGTGCTGTTCAGTGCTCTGATGTGGCTTCAGCTGAAGGCTCTGCCACAGTGCTGTCCAGGATGCAGTGGTGGCTGGACAGCTTTCCTCCATCTCATTTTTGACAAGTGCATCACCAACAGCAGCGTAATCTCTAAGTGCTTTCTCAAAGACTGGGGAAATGCAAGAGCCACCATCTTTCTGAACTGCTCATGTGAGATGGCTGGGAAGGAGGCAGAGGAGCAGCCAGGAGAACTTTAGCCTTCTCTTCTTGAGTGTTGGCTTTTTCCTCTTTAGCTTGATCTTTTTCCAGCGGTGCTGCCCTTGCTGTCTGATCCCCTTGCTGGAGGACAGCAGGAGCTTGCAGGGGGTGAACAGCACAGCTGGAGGAGGAAGGTGCCAGCAGGAACCTGTTCAAGGAGGGAGGGATGTGTTCTAGCATCTTCTTTCCCCGAGGGCCCCATGCTTACTGCCCCAGGGAAAAACACTTTGTTTGCTCTGTTGAAGTAAGAGATCGGATGTGAGATAAGAAAATGGTTGGGGGAAATGGAAGTGTAACAGCTGCTGAGATTGGGTAAGAACCCAAATCTTCTTTTCCCATTCTCTAGTCTTCCACTTTGAAGTCTGTCCTACCCTGACAGAGGTGAGATAAAGCAGAGGGGGATGGTGGAGAACCGGGGCAGTCTGTATCAGCCAGGGGGAGGAAATGAGGGAGCACTCAGAAATATGAGGTAAATGCTGGATGACCCAAGTGCCCTTCATTCAGTGCTGTAGAAATCATTATGTATCAGCTCACTGAGCTGTAGACCCCTTTTCTTCTGAGTCTCCAGGTCACCCCTTATGTGTGGCGCTCGCAAGTCTGCTTGCGCTTCTGTGCGTGTCTGTGACCAGACAGGTGGGAGTGTAATATGGTGCAGGAATGTCTGCCCATGGCTGGGCACTGCTTGGATGGCTGGGGACTGATCCTGCAGCTTGCCTCGGGTGCCAGTGCTGCCTGTTCTGCTGAGGAGCCTTTTAACCGTTGTGCTGGAACAATATGTGGATGGGCTGGCAGAGCTGCTTGGGCTGGGGAGAGAAATGAGACCTTCCAATCTGCCTGCCATTGCAAACAGAGATGTTTCCTGAGAAAGGGGCTTGCTGCTGAGATAGTGCCTCCCTCTATCCTTCATGAAAGTCCCTAGCTGAGGCTTTGGCCTAACCCAAACCTTGTGCTTTGCACGTCAACTGGAGGCTGCCAAGCTTCTGTTTTGCAACGCTGCTGCTTTTGCTTGGAAATAGGCTCAGAGAGGGCTGTGTGATTGTAATGTTTTTTCCTCATCCAGGCGGGTCCTGCCCTCACCTGTGAATTGATGCATCTCTCCCAGCAGAATTAATTGGCACTTGTCTCTCTTGCCTGCTTAAACCTGCTGCTTTTTGCTCAGAGACATGAGCAAAGCAGACTGGGAGCAGTTTTTCAGCTGTAAGGCCAATGCTGGAGGATCACAGCAGCCGTGTGCTGTGCCATGCTGCGCTGTGCTGTGCTGTGCTGGCTCAGACTGCTGCAGCCCATGTAAGAGGTGTGTGCTTTCCTGCCTCCTGTGAGATGTTCTGCTGGCTGTGTGTGGCTCCTGGAGTGGCTGGAGGTGAAGTTCCTTCCTGATCTTTGGATGATCTTGATCAGCTTAAGCCATAAAGCAGGAGATTTGATTTACCCGACTTAGCTTGCATAACTGCAGACAGCATTAGGGGATGGCAAGCCCTTCTGCACACAGAATGGCTCAGAATGAGAGAGAGATCATGCTCTGATGCCTCCCGCACGGCAAATAATTTCCATTATAATTCATTCTAATTTGTTTTATTTCCTTGATTAACTTTATAATGCAATAAAGCCCCATTTTCACTCGAGCTATTCTCTTTTAATTTGTTTTAGTATTGTCCGTAATGATATTCATTTAATCTTTGTCATTGCTAATTTTAAAAATCACTGATGTAAAGCCAGAAAATAGCAGAAAACCATGGCAGTCGCAAGTTGGAGAGTCTAGAAATTGCCGCGTGGCTGCCGGCAGCCCACTGGGGGCGAGGCGCAAGCAGGCGATGTAGGAGCTGGCAGCTGGAGCGTGGCCACCCCAAGCCCTGGGGCCAGCCAAGCCTTTCTCAGCTCCAGCCTGCTGCTGTGGGCCCTGTGGCTGCTGTGGGCCCTGCGCTGAGTGGGTCCCGTGGGGCCCAAGTGCCTGAACGCCCCGGGGAACGCAGGTTTGGGCATTGGCAGCAAACTCTTTGCTACGCTAAATCTGCCCCGCTTTGTGGATTGTGTGCAGCAGAAGCCGTGTGAGTGGAGGAAGGACAGAGGAGGCCTTGTAAAACAGCCAGAACTTTTTGCAGGATAACTGAATTCTGATGGCTCTGTTTGCTTCCCCTGCTCTCTTTTCCTGAGTGAATGCGGAGAACTCATTTCACACATGCTGTCCTTCCTGGCAGAAGAGCGAAGCACTGACAGTGCAGCAATTTCTTGTCGGCTTACTTTGCTCCGTTCTTTCCCCTTTTGCCTTCCCAGGCTGCAGATGATAGCTGATCAGCTGGTGGAGAGGTTCGTGGCCTCAGGTTTGATGCTTAGGGAATGGGATAGGGTGAAACTGCACGCTACTGTCATGAACACGCTATTCAGGAAAGACCCAAGCGGTGGTGAGTATTCTTGTTATTTGCTGGTAAATGCATTGAATCACTAGAGTTGGAAGGGTCCCTGAAAGACCGTCTGGCCCAACTGTTCTGCAGTGAACAGGACCACCCACAGTTCCATCAAGAGCTCTGAGCCCTGTTCCAGCCTGATCTTGGGTGTCTGTAGGGACGCAACCTCTCTGGGCAGCCTGTGCCGGTGCCTCACCACCCTTATTGTAAAACACTTTTTCTTTATATCCGGTCTAAATCTCCCCTCTTTCAGTTAGAATCCACTTCCTCATGTCCGTGTAACACAATACCACTGAACAGGAGGTATTTTGGTCAGTAACTGTTGACTTTCACACTTTTTGTGTTGGGTTGCTTTTTTTTTTTTTTTTTTTTTTTTTAAATTATTTTTGTGCTTATTTTAATCTTAAAAGTGCCTTGAAGATTGTATGGGGGATGTTGCTAAATAAAACCCAAGAAAAACTGAAAAAGCAGCCAGCAGAGCTGGAGGAGGCAGACGTGCTTTGAGTACTTTCTGAGTCCTTTCTAAGGTTCTTCTCACAATTTCAGACCCACTCTTGGCCAGCAGCACTCACAGGAATCTTGCCCTTTGGAGGGGGGGCCCACTGGCAGTAGCATCCTGTCTGTGTGCTGAACTGCTCTATCAGGCATGTGAGGCATTCGGAGACAATGAGGAGAGCTTTACCCAGGCAGCCATAGAAATCACTTTATGTTCGATACAGGGTCTGATTAGCATTGTTGGTTGTGAGTGGGAACTCATAGTCAATGCTGGAGATGTAGAAGAAATATTGAATGTATTCAGTGAGTGTGGCAAAGGTCCCTTAGAAAGAGCAGATTATGTACTTAGGGATTATGTAAAACTTCAGACATCCTCTGGGGAGATGGATCCGAGATGGAGACATTTGGCACTCACTGAAGGCCTGGATCGCTGTTCTCCATGTCTCTGTGGGTGGCTGCTTCCTTGCCTCACATATACACACGTAGATGGTATGCAGGGATGCTCCTCACAGCAGGTGCCCTCCAGAATCACCTCAACACCAGCTGTGTGCAGGGTCTTTCCGCCAGGTGTTGCAGGTAATCCTGGTGGAAGCACTGATCCCTGCACAGTCAGCACAGATATCTTTAAGATCAAAGTGGCAGTGTTTTTGCATGAAGAGCTGTGTGAGGATGGTTTATCAGCTGGCAGCTGACTTTGGGGAGGGGAGGATTGGGGGGTGAACACAGTTCTCCTATCTGAAGCTCGTTCTGGTGGTGGCTTTTCTCTTTCCAGCTGAAGAGCGAAGCAACACAGTGACTGGTAAATCATCCTTCAAGGAGAGGGAGTCGTTTAATGGGCGAAACATCCTCAAGGTCAGTATGAAATAATTAGAGAAATGGAGCCAGCTGCTGATATTAGATATCCAGAAGAGATTGAAGCACCTCTTTAAAACTGTCTTTGGCTTTGGCGTATGGGATTTCCCAGAGCAGGGGGCATCTGTTTTTGAAATAAACAATCTAGATCACTCCTAGTTGGGAGCAGTACAGTATTTAACAGAAGTGTTCTCAAAGCTGGTGAGCTCAGATCAGGAATACGTCACACGAATGCTAAGTGGGTGTTGGTGTTGTCGTTCACTTTGCTCATATCTTACCCTAGAGACTTAGGCTCCTGTTGGTTTGCAGCCCACCAGAAAGGCAGACTTTGTTGCTCTTGTTTCTCTCACTCATGCTTGTTTTTATGCCGCTAAAACTGCCACTTCACATGCTCTTTTTGTTTGTTAAATCTCTGCTATTAGTTTGCATGGTTCTGCTCCAGAAAACCAGTGGTTAGTGGGGGTCAGAGTCAGATTTAGTGTTGATGGGAGGGCAGGAAGCGAGATTCCCCAGGCTGCAGAGGTAGCAATGCTGGGCTGATGTGCGGTGCTCACACGCAGTGAGTGTCCAGAGAGAAAAGACAAGCCTGGAGAAGGGAATCAGCGCTGGGTTATAAGCCAATTTAAATCCTCATTGTGTGAGCTGATTTGTTATGATAAGAGGGAGGCAGGAGAGCGCTTGAATACGTGCATTCACATCGTGAAATGATAGATGTTCTGGTCACAAATTGGCAGCGGAGAGACGTGAGCAAGGATGCAGATCGGATGCGAAATGGACAGCTCGAAAGGACTGTGGGCATCAGGGGACAGAAGAGGTCTGTTTTGTGTTTGCAGTTCTGCTGTGCAATGCATTAGGTACTGGCTGCATGGGATGTGAAGACAGAGCAGAGCTGATTGATCTCCTCTGCGCAGAGGACAAACAAAGGGACAAAATTAGGTTAAGCTCTCGCCGGCTGTGCGAGCACGGTGTCATGACTCAGCACTGCCACGTGTGGAGCGCTTGCTGTGAGACCTCAGGGCTGCGTGGCGGAACGGGCCACTGATGGATGTGGCCCCTTTTTCAGCTCCCAGCACCTGAGCTGGCTCTGGAGAAGGCAGGTAGCAGCCCCAAGTGCCTGGAGGGACTCCGTTTAGGGAGCGTCTGCTTTTCGCTTTGCCCATCAGTCCTTTTTGCATTTGCTGATCATGTCCTTAGACTTCAGAGAGACGTAAAATTCAGCTGCCCTTCTTCGTTAATGTTCCTCATCCAAAAACATGCATAGTTTGAAAGGCGTTACGCTGCTCACTTGATTTTTGCAACACTCGTGGGTTGCACTGTGGGGCCGTGGGACTCGTGGTGCACAGTGCTTAGAAATGCCCCGGCCCTGCCTCAAATGCCATTTTTATTTGGCTGCTCTCTGAAATCAGAGCTGAGGCACTTTTAAAACCCCTAATTGATTCTGTACGGATGTAGCCCAAAGAGCTGCTGGCTGTTTGGACTGTTGATGATTACTTCAAAGCGTGCCTTCCTGCAAGAAATGTCATCCTTCTCCCCCACCTCCACTACATTTCCTAACCTACTCGCTTCGTATTTCCCTTTGGTCTCCCACGTGCCTGCAGCAGAGCACCCGTTGGCATTAATTAATTACATGAGTCATAAATAGCTGCAGGCTTCTTACCCGAGGAGCCCGGCCCCAGCCGGCCGCCAGTGTGCTCCAGCATGACCTTGCAGAACTGCACCACGTCCTCTTTTATATACATTATTTATCTGCTGCTCAGCGAGGTTGCCCTCTCACGAAGCGGCTGTTAGCTCGTGCAGCAGGATCTAAACGAAGGGCATCGGTGAGCGCGGTGTCAAGTCGTCATGCTGGGCCGCCTCCTTGCTCAGCTGTGGCTGTGGCACTGCCAGGCACGGGCTTGGCCTAGCAGAGGGCGGGACCTGCAGGTAATGGTGCACAACGAGGTGAGGATGGCCCAGTTCTGCCACTCTCCGGGGCTGCAGCTGATGCCTGCGTGCAGATGGCAGCAGTGTTTGCCGATAGGCTGCCTGCGCTACCCCGGGCTCCAGCTGGTATTTTGCTTTTGGCAGAACTCATCAGAATTTTATTGAATAATCCTTTGTTCTCCCCATTCCACAGAGTTAAACACACACTCCTGTTTGTGCTAATAAATCGTTGTGCAGGCCGGTGCCTTCCCACACTGCTCAGAAAATAGATCCTGTAGGATGAGTTACATCGAGGAGTTTAAATTCCCTCTGTCTTGAAGAATATTTGTGCAAAAGGTTCCTTGATTTGCTTGGTGCAGAAAGCCCAGGGGAAGCGTGTGAGTGATTTGTGCCTCCCATGAAGGTGCGAGACGCTTTGGCTTTGTTCTTGTCTAGCTGAGTCCCAAGGAACAGGGCTGCTTTATGAAGCGTTTCATACAGAGCAGTACGTATTGCTTCCAGGGAGGTGGTGTGCCAGCTCCTCACACGTCCAAGTCACGGATCGCAATCCTGCTCCAGCATCTCCCATGTGAGTAAGGTCAGGCTGGGCACAGCGGGGAGATGCCAGCTTGGCAGCCCCTTTGTGCTGCCTCCTCCTCCTCCCCCCTGCCCTGCAGGGTGGCTGTGTGCCCAGCGTCGCAGCTGGCGCAGTGCTGGCACTGAGGCAGCCGGGGCAGCTGCGTGCATCTCCGGAGCCAGGGCTTGGCTGCCTTCAGGCTTTTATTTATTATTTACTTGGTCATTTATTTATTTTCCCCTGTGAAAATGCTAAGGCTGTGGTGAATAAATAGAAATGCAAAGGAACGTGAAGATACAGCCACAATGTTCCAGGATCCTTCAAAAAGGCTTGCGGTAGGAAGAGTGCCATCTGAGCTCACACAGTGTTAGAACTGAAGGATTGTATCTTGAGGTTTGGGATATAAAAGGGTGGCCTGTGCTGTGTGTGGACAAAAGGTGAGCACGTTTTGAGCAAGGAAAGGAGTGAACCCTGCCTTAATGGCTTACGAGATTACAGACTGAGAGAGCAGCTCTGCAGGTGCTGTGGAGCAAAGCTTCGGCAGGCACTGAGCTGATGTGCCAGGCCTGGAGCTGGGTCCATCAGTATAGAGGCACGTGCTGCTGGGACAGACAAGGCGTGACCCAACCTGGCTCCAGAATTTAAGGGCATTAAATTATGGGGCCGTGTCCTCTGTCACTTGGTGTTTTTATTCAGTGACAGACCAGTGCTGGTGGGTTGCACGCAGACCTGGTAGTGTCCTCTGTTGCTCCTTCTGTCTTGCTGGACAGGAGTAGTGCAGCAGCTGTGGTATTGCAGCAGTTCAGTTTAAGACGTTTGATGCAGCACCACATGAAAGCAAAATCTTGGCCTTGAAGTCCTCCCTGTACCCTGAAAATACCCTAAGCCCAGCAAGCTGTTAAGCAGAGAACATCTGCCTCTGCACAGTCACTGCTGCCAGTTCTCCTGTGGACTGATGAGTGCTGCATATGTTCTGCAGCCTCTGGCACCTAGACTGCATCTCTGCAGCTTTCCTTGGGGAGTTAGAGGGATGGACTCTTTCCCATTGTAGTTTTGAAATCGGAAGACCCACATTAGGCGTGATCAAGTCTTCCTAGTGTGCAGAAAAAATGATCTGGTGGTCCTCCGTGGTGAGATGAGAGTATGTACCCAGCACAGCTCTGAGAACTGGAGCAAGTGTGTGCTCTGCAGAGGGGAGATCTCTGCCTTCAGTCCTGATTGTGCTGCTATCGAGGGAGAGACGGGCAGCCAATGTATGCATGATTCTGGGAGGAAAAGGAGATGTAGTTGGGTCACTGTGAAAACGTCTTCCTACGTGTGGGCTGTGTTTAGTGCCAGAAAAGAAAGAGCACATTGATGAGTGAAAGTGGGGAGCTCATCACAGAGGCACCCTGGCCCTTCTGCTGGCTAATCTCCCGGTCTGCCTGATTTAATGGGCTTGCTCTGTGTCCAGGCTCCTCCTCTCAGTGACTGTGAACAGATCTGGGAGGTCACATTGACAGGTCCTTGTCCCGGTGTTCCCAGGTGTTTTGCAAGCCTCTTGGCATCACTGCAGCAAAGCCAAAGCCCAGGTCCTACAGCACCTGCAGCAGCTGTTCTTAATGGGGAGTGCTGGGTGCCATGGGGGTGAGGCTGCTTTGGAGAGATGCAGGGGTTGATCGTTAATTCCTTAAACCAGTTGTACCATGAATCCCTCACACTGGAAGTTAGCAGAGCCTTTAATTTGCTGGGGTGTTTTATTCTTGTCAGAAAGATGTGTGAGGATGCAGTAACTTCTAAATGTCCCACTTGTGTTTGTTTCTTAGTTTGCAGAATGCCTTTCACCATAGCAACTAGGGCTTGCTTTCCTCAAATGCATGAATTTTCATGGATTTGCAGCAAGGAGGGGAAACGACCCAAAACCCTGTGCTAAAGCAAAAGCTTTGCAGTGTGACAGAAGCATCTCTGGGTTCTGCTCATGCAGGACAAACCAGGCAGTCTCTGCTGAACAAAGACTGGATGTGGCCCCAGATAGCTCTACTGGGAAGAAGGCAAGCGTGCATGTAGCCTCCTTCCCTGTTTCCTGTGCAGACAGAACCAGCAATGAGCTCCTCCTGCCTCAGGGATGCAGAGGACAGTGAGGCCATGACCTCCCTTGGCCCTTTCTGAGCTTGTTGCTTTATGATCACCATGTAAGATAGATGCAAAACACCCATAAAATGGCATTTGCTTATGTACCAAAAGCTCCGTGGCATTTAGGTGGCATTTACTCTGGCTCAGCAAAATAAAAATATAAGTAAGAAATCGCCTGTCATGCATGCCAAGAACACCCTGCATTTTGTGCATCGCTCGCTCTGACATGAGTGGTACTTTTCCAGGTAGAATTGGTTTGTGTGTGACTGCTGTGCAAGGGGCAGAATGGGTGATTTAAGCAGGAGGGCTTCTCCTTTGTCACCACTGACTCGTGTCTTGCACAGGGCTCGCGCTAACCCTGGGTGCCGATCACTTGTCTGCAATTTCAGGTCTTGTGTTGCTTTGCTGCAGAGCAAGAGAATATAAATGACTGGACGAGACAGGCTGAATGCTAATGGTAAGGGAGTTAGTGCTCTGCTTCCAGCACAGGCCTGCTGCGCTCCCCCAAGACAGGCTGCCAGGTCTTCTGTGAGTGGCTTGCCTCCCTCCTGAAGTCTGGATGCTTTCTTTTTTTGTAAGGGAAGAGAGGCTTTGGATGCCCAAACAGTGTAAAGAGCCGCAGGAAGGGAGCCCTGACCAGTGTCAGCAGGAGGTGGGCGCTTCATTGTGAGACACTGCTATGGATGGGCGCTGCCTACCTGCTTTTGGTGTTTGTCTTGTGTTGCTGCTGGTGAGCCTCCAAGTGCAATTAAACCCCTGGCAGATAGTCATTGGCATAGTGGTGTCCGCAGTGAATAACACAGGAATCAGATGTTTCTTTCTTGGCACCAAAGTGTCTCAGAAAACATATTTTGAAAGTGAAAATAGAAGAGGAAAAAATCCATTAATTGAACAAGCTTCCCAGATCTTGACAGCTTGCCCAGTTAGGTTTCATCCTCTGTGAGCCCGCAGAGGATTTGGTTCAGGTTTGTCTGGGGGACTTGGAGCGCCTCTGCTGGAAGGGTTTGCTGCATTTCTTGGGGTGAAGAGGGAGGAGCTCCAGGGCAGCTTCTGGAGATGGAGGCTGTTAGGTTGGCCGGCAGAGCTCTTAGCAGAAGTGCACGAAACCAGACATGCTGACCCCGCAGGTCCCTGATCTACCAGCAGTTTCCCAGCACTGGGTTGTGTCTGTGAGCGAGAAGCAGCTGTGACAGAGGAGGGGCTCTGGCAGGCAGAGGGTTTGCTGGCGCGGATGACTTCACCTGGTCTTTCACATTTCTAACCCAGCCAAGGAGAGCAGGGCACCTGACTCTTTTTGCCAGCAGGCCTCAGGCAGACAACAGTGCACACATCGCTCGCCTGCAGGGCTGATTCACTGCGGGCAGTTTTGTACTGCTGAGCCATTGTGCCCCTGCCCTGGGGCACTGCTTCCCAGCCTGGAGCTCCAGCAAAGGCAACTTCTCCCCACAGAGCAGGTGTGTGTGTGTGCACCTCTGCATCTTCTTCTGCGCTAATGCTGCTCTTTGCTGGGAGTTTTTAATTGTAAGGCGTTGGCATTGTGGTGAATTTTCACTCCCTCGGCGTTTCTGAGCTCTCAGCAGGGCAGCACGGGCTCGTTGTCAATTCCGGATGGGTCATTTTTGGCTGACTGCTGGAGACAACGTAAAGCTTTACAGCAATCAATAACCCTGACGGCAGCGCAGAACCCAGGCCAGGCAGCACGAGCACAAGCCAGGGATTGCGTGGAGGAAGTTTCAAGTACCTTGGCCTTCCTCCCATCACCTGGGTTCCTTCTGTCCTCCCGCTGCCGTTAATGCTTCTCACTCTTGTTGAGCCCATGACAGGTGACGTGAAGGCACGAGCTCACATTGGCAGCTCTGCTCTCTGGCAGCGGAGCCGAAGCGTGCCGCAGCCATCCCAGCACGGGGCAGTGCCATGATTTATTGCTGCTGTTTCTGAGTTTGCACACAAAGGTGCCGCTGCGCTCCAGGAGAGCTGCTTGACAAATGCCCAAATGCATACTTCTTCCAGGAATCCTTTGCATTTATTTCCCCAGTGTTTTGGTCATATCTGCTTCACAAGCTGAGGCAAAGGGGGAAAAAGTGCAGAAATAGCCCTCCTGTTAATGTGCCACTCTGACTCTGCTGGATTGCTGTGGTTGGGGACTGATGTTTGGAGGAGTGTGTTTGCCCGTCGTTCATTGTTGTTTGATGTGCAAGTATTTTCCTGCTGTGCAGGCTCAGCACATCTCCAGTGCCTTCGCGCTGAGGTGCAGGACTTGAGGTTAAATGTTAGCAGTGTGCTCTCCTTGTTGAGGTCTAATTTGATTTGGGAAGGCAGAGGGTACTTAGTTGAGTGATGCTATTCCCTCAAGGGGCATTAGGAGGTGGCATGGCGTGTGCGGGGTCAGCTCTGCATATTGAGCTTTTCCTCCATCGGGCTTGTTTTCATTTATAGTATTAAGAAATCCCCCATCCACCCCCTTATTTATTCCTCAGGCAGTGAGGATGTAAATCCGTTGGCGCGTTTGGATTTAGGGCATTGCCTTGTTGCTGCTGAGCCTGGCTTCCTGCTCCAGCCAGATGCCACGGCTTGTGGCAGCCCTGCGAGTGACCTGCATCTGCTCCCTACAAATCCACACCTCCTCCCCTCTGTGGCCCTCTGGGAAGGAGAACTGCACCAACCTCCAGGGCTCTCCTTTTCCAGAAGAAAAGGAAAAACACAAAGTGCTCTTCCATTTCATTGGCCTCCCCACAAGCAGAGCAGTTCTGTGGTGGGAGATATAAATATCTTTCTCAGCTCTTGCTTGGCTTCTCCCCAGGATAAATAGATGCGGAGGCTGAGCCCTCTGAAGCCTCTCCCAAGCCCCCAGGATGACTGTGGGATGTTTGCTTGTCGCAGAGGCGCAGAGCCCTTGGAGGAGGGCTCTTTCTCAATTGCCCGTGGTGGCTCTGGGCTGTGTGGTGCCGTGACTCTGATACTCGCGCATGGTATCCAGTTGCCTACAAGCGCAGAGGAGCATCAGTAGGAGCTGGCTTGAAAGGAGAGCAGGAAAAAAATAGGGCTGTGGCTGTCCTTTAAATCTTGTAGTGCATTTGCTCTCAGAAAGTACAGCTGCATTACCAAAAATCAATAGTCCTAGCAGTGTTCTCCATGGGAAATACACGCACTCAGACTCGCAGGAGGTAGTAGTGCTTAAAAAAGGCCGTGGGAATACCAAGTGCTTCAGTACAAAGGCTTTGCTTCACTTCTAGCAGCGTGCAGATGGAGCAGCCTTGCCCCAGCTGCTGCCTTCTGGGGCTCTCCCATGGCCTCCCCCATCCAGTGGGGGCTGCCTTGCTGGCTGCTTGAGGGGCACCTTCCCATTCCGCTCTGCCCAAACAAGAAGAAAAGGAGACCATCCACTTCCCCAACATCTTATGAGGCATTTAAGACCTACCCAGCCTTTTGGAAACATAATTAATCTTTAATTATATTCATCTTTAATTGCATCAAATGGAGTTTGTGTGTTGGCAGTCATTCTTCTTCCCCTCCTCTGCCCCTCTAGGAGAAGCCCCCCTGGGACAACCTTGTTCCAGCAGGGCTCTGGGGAAGTGACGGGCAATGGAGAGCTGTGGGGTCCTTCTTCCAGGCCAGCTGTTGGTTTTGACCAGGAGGTGCAGGGAGGCGATGATGGAGGAAATGGCTCTGCAGAGCAGTGCTTTTAATTCACGAGTGCGTTTTCTGCGTCCTCCTGGAATGGAGCAGGAGCAGCACATTGCTCTCAGAGGCACTGCGTTCCCAGCAGTGTCACCGAGCTTCCCTGTGAGGACCTGATGTCATCTTTTGGCTGGCTTCATGCATGGGATGAATGGGCTGAGGCGTGCCTCTGGCCCCAGCACGGCTCACATGCATGAGCCCGCTGCCAAATGAAGGAAGGATTGTTGAGCAGAGTGGGGTCAGTGCTGGGATGGTGCCTGCTGACCCCTGTTGGGACCAAGCCTTATTAACCATAAGCCCTGCGGCCTGGGCCAGAAGCAGACACCCTCTCCTGAGAGTGCATGCCATAGCTGTGCTGGGATGGGGAAGCAGGCTTGGCAAGCGGCACGCAGCCCTGTAACAGGAGCAGCTGCAGGCTGAGCTGCTGTTGTTGTTCCTGAATGGCTTTTTCTCTTCTCATGCAGCTCTTTGAGAACTTCTCCTTCGGTGAGGCGCAGCTGGACGCGGTGCTGCTCTCCCAGCGCTACTCCTCGGATGCCTCTGGGTACTATGGCACAGCAGGGCGGCTGCTACTGCACTGACTAGGGGACGGTTGCTGCACAAGTGATGGAGAGTAGTGGCTGCGCGTGGCTCGGGGCCACCTTATGCCTTGTAGCATGGCTGTACTGCAGGGGGGAGCCTGGGGCTTGTGGGGGGGTGTGCGATCCCTCTGCCCTCTTCGGCCACAGTGAGAGCTCAGCTCCAGCAGTGTGCCTGCCTGGTGTCGGCCTACAAATAAAGGAGTTTTGTTTACGGGCAAGCATTTGTCTCTTGTTTCACTGATGGCTCCTGTGCTTAAGCTCACGGCATAGGCAGGGCTGCCCCCCCAGGCGGCTCCACTGCCCATCCGTGGCACTGTGCACCTCCAGGGATGGGGCACCCACAGCTCTGGGCAGCAGTGCCAGCACCTCGCGCCCCTCTGTGTGAAGAATTTCCTCCTGTCACCTAAGCTAAATCTCCGATCTTTCAGTTTACAGCCGTTCCCCCTCGTGCTGTCGCTCTGCCCACGCACAGAGTCGGTTCCCCCTCCCGCTTACAAGCTCCCTGCACGCGTCCTTATTGCTACCGCAAACGAAAGCGTGCCTTTCCCGCAGAGCCGGCGCGCGGTACGGGGCACGGCGGGGCCGCCGGGAGCGGAGCTGGGGCCGGCCCAGGGGTGGTGGGGCTGCGGTAGGGGAGGGGCTGGGGGCGGGAGCGAGGCTCCGCCCCCGATGCTGAGCCCCCGGCCCCGCCCCCCGGCCGCACTCGCCGCCGGCGCCTCCCCGCGGTGCGGAGCGGTGCGGTGCGGTGCGCTCGGCTCGGCTCGGCCCCCGCCGGCGCTGCGGCAGGATGCGGGGCTGCGGCGGGCACCGCGCCCTGCTGCCGGCCCTGCTGCCGGCCCTGCTGCCCGCCCTGCTGCCCGCGCTGCTGCTGCCCGGCGCCGCCGCCGCCACCGGCCCCGGCCCCGCGCCCGGCGGCAATTTCCTGGAGGACGAGCAGTGGCTGTCCTCCATCGCGCAGTACGGCGGCCGCATCCGGCACTGGAACCGCTTCCGAGACGTGAGTGCGGGGCGCGGGTGGGGGCGGGCGCGGGGTGATGCCCTCCGCCCGTCCTCACCTCCGCTCCGCTTTGTTCCACCGCCGCCCCGCGCCGCGCCGCAGGAGGTGGAGGTGAGCGGGGCGGCGCGCCGCCGTCGGTGCGCGATGCGCGGGGTCTGTGCCGGGCAGCGCTCTGCACCACGCGCGGGTGTCCGCGTGAGCGTGTGGCGGTGTGCGGCGCGCGGGGCCGGGCGACGCGTGTGTCCGCGTGTGTGCGTGTGCGTGATGCATGTCCGTGTGCCGCGGGTGCGTGCGGAGCGCACGGGGGTGCATAGCGCGGTGCTCGCGGGCGTGTGCGGCGAGCAGGTAGATGTGCGGTGCCCGTGCGTGTGCGCAGCTCGCCGTGCCCTGCCGCGTGCGGTGCGTGAGCGTGATCCGCACCTGTGTGTGCACGACGCCCGTCTGTGCGGCGCTCGGCCGTGTGCGGTACCCGTGCACGTGCGGCGTCCGTGCGCGCGCGGTGCCCGCCTGTGTGCAGCGCACCCCGCTTGAAGCGGCTGCGTGCACTGCACCACCCTGCGCTGTGCCCGCAGGACGACTACATCCGGAGCTGGGAGGACGGGCAGCCCCCGGATGAAGGTACCGAGGGGGGGTTGGTGTCGGCTGGAGGGGGGAGCGCGGCCCCGTCCCAGCCTCTGGCAGCCGTAGCCGTGCGCGGCTGCATTCCCTGGGGGCTCCTAAGCGACCCTCCCCGCCTTGCTCCCCAGGAGAGGACAGCACCAAGGACCCGTGCCAGAAGGTGAAGTGCAGTCGGCACAAGGTGTGCGTGCCGCAGGGCCCGCAGCGCGCCGTCTGCGTCAGCCGCAAGAAGCTGGAGCACAGGTAGGAGCTGGGGGGCGGAGGGGAGGGCGGGGGAGGTACGCATTTGGAGTCGGAGCTCATTTGGAGACGGAGCTCAGCGTGGCTCTCCCCTTCAGGATCAAGCAGCACGGGGGCTGCAGGCCGTGCCACTCCGCCCGCCCGGCGCCCGTTTGCGGCTCCGACGGACACACGTACAGCTCTGCGGTAAGCGCGGGGATGGGGGGGTTATGGCGCTGCAGCCCCCCGTGACGCCACGCTGTGTCCCCAGTGCAAATTGGAGCAGCAGGCGTGCCTGGCCGGCAAGCAGCTGACGGCGCGCTGCGATGGGCACTGCCCCTGCCCCACCCCCGGCAGCACGCAGGGTGAGTGGGGGCGGGGGGTGCGTTTGCATGCGTGCCATGGGAGGGTGATTTTGGGATTCACCTGTGCAATATGTGGCGGTGCACCCATGCAACGTGCAGGTGTTCCCATCAATTTGGGGATGCCCTTGTGTGGCACGGGGGTGCAATTTGGGGACACACGCAATGGAGTGGTGCGTCAGTGCAGTGTGGGGGTGTCCCCCACCTCACCGTGACCTCCCTCCCCACAGAGCCGTGCACTGGGCAGGACCTGGCCGATCTGGGGGAGCGGTTGCGGGACTGGTTCCAGCTCCTGCGTGAGAACGCCAAGCATAACGCCTCCGGAGGGACCCCCGGCACCGGTGCAACCCCAACCCCACATCCCCCTTGTCCCCATGTCCCTTTGGGGCCGGGTCCCATGGTGGCATCGTTGCCCACAGCTCTGGCGGCCGGCTGCAAGGAGGCGGTGGGGTGGATGTTCGGGCGCTTGGACACCAGTGGGGACCGCGTCCTGGAGCAGCCCGAGCTGGCTGCCATCAACCTGGACAAGTACGAGGCGTGCATCCGCGCCTTCTTCAACTCCTGCGACACCTCCCGTGATGGGCGCGTCACTGCTGCCGAGTGGTGCCTCTGCTTCTGGAGAGAAAGTGCGTGTGGCTGGAGGGTAACGGGGGGGTGCGTGCCTTGGGGTTTCGGGGTGTGACAGAGGGGAGGGATGTGAATAATAGGGTTTCGGAGATGCAGAACATTGGGGGGATGCGTGCTGCAGGGTTGGGGATGCCCACCAGGGAGGATGCATGCAATACAGGGGGGAGCGGTGCTGAGGGAATGCACTGCACAGCATTGCGTGCACAACAGCATGCAGTGCGGGGAGGATACACGCTATGGGGTTGGGGGAATGCATGCCACGGGGTCCTCAGGTGCATTGCACAGCATCAGGGAAATGCATACACACCACGGAGGGATGCACATTGAAGAGTCAAGGGATGCATACGATGGGGGGGTGCATGCAGTGCAGAGAGGATGCACGCCACGGGGTTCTGGGGATGCACCTCACACCATGGGGCCACCCCCTGAACGTGTGTGGATGCTGCAGAGCCGCCGTGCCTGCGGGAGCTGGAGCGGCTGCAGATGCAGGAGGCAGCCAACGTGCAGCCTGGTGAGTTGGGGTCCCAGGGAGCCCTGGCCCCTCTGATGCGGTGGAGCTGGGGTGCTCCATGCCAGGGGGTCCGGGCACTGCATGTCTTCTGGGGTGCGTTGGGGACCCGTTTTTTTGCAGGCACCTTCGTGCCCAGCTGCGATGAGGACGGCTACTACCGACGGACGCAGTGTGAACCAGGCGGCGCACAGTGTTGGTGCGTGGATCCACAGCACGGCACTGAGCTGAGCGGCACCCGCTCCCATGGCCATCCCGACTGCGGTGAGCTGGGGGAGACTGTGTGGTGACATCCCCAAGTGGCTGGGGGGCCCCATCACTGAGTAATCCCTGTGCTCACAGAGGACGCAGCGGGGTTTTCAGGAGACTTCGGCAGTGGCGTGGGCTGGGAGGATGAGGAGGAGAAGGAGCCTGAGGAAGCAACAGAGGAAGCTGAGGAGGAGGAGGCCGAGGCGGGTGAAGGAGATGATGGTGGCTACATCTGGTAGAGGCGGGGGGGGGGGCGGCACGGCTGGGGGCAACCCCTGTCGCCCCATTGCCCCCTGGCACAGAGCGCAGGGGCAGCCCCCGGCTCCAAGTGGGACAGGGCTGTGGGGCGCTCGCCCGGGCGGGCCCCAAGGCGGGCGGGGGGCGAGCAGTGCGAGGCTGAGCTCATGCCCCCCACCCCCCCCCCCGTTTGCGCTTTTTTTGGTTTTATTTTTAATTAATTTTATTTTTCGGGGGGGAGGGAGGGAGGGGAGTAGAACCTAGCGTGCTGCTGCGTGGTCAGAAAGTGCACTAATAAACGAAAATTGGGAAAAAAATGGGAAAAAAGCAAAAAAAAAACCAACCCACCAACACCCTTCCCCCCACCTGCCCCCCCCATGCCCCTGACCCCCTGTCCGTGCTGTGCTTGCTGCTGCGGTGTTGTGAAATAAACGCCCGTGCTGTGTCGAACGCTCCATGCCCATTCCTGGCCCTTCCAGCCCCCTACCTAGGGCTCTGTCCCCAGATATGCCCTGCTTGGGGGGCCACCACGTCCCGCTGACCCCAGCCACCACCAGGGACTCCATGGCTCAGATGAGGGCTTTTATGGAAGCACTCCAATTCTGGGGGAGGGGTCACAGCTTGCTGGGGGGCCGCTGCTGCAGCCGCCATGCTGCCTGTGCCCCCTTGCTGGCAGCATTGAGTGGGGCGAAGGCAGCAGGGTTCCCGCTGCAGCGATAGCGGGCAAGAGGAGTGCGCAGCAAGGAGATGGGGATGCAGAAGTTGAGGTGTGGGTAGGTGGTCCCTGCGGCGTTGTCCCGCACGTTGCTGGCCACGATGCCTGGAGAAGGGAGATGTCACCAAAGGCATTAACGCAATGGGGACACTTGGGGGATGCAGTGGGGACAGGGGCTCACCTAGCAGGCATCCGTCGCGAGCAGAGAGCAGGGGGCCGCCACTGGAGCCAGCGTGCACGGCGCAGGTGCTCTGCAGCATCACCGGGGGGGTTCCCACCACGGCCGACAGCACACCCCCCGTCACTGAGGGGCCACACGCACGGCCTAGCGCCCCAAAGCCCAGCGCCAGCACTGCCTCCCCTGCACCACACCATCGGCGTTAGGACATTCCATCACACCTCTAATGGCACCCCTACACAGGACCCCACTGTCCCCATAGGATGCCACTGTCCCAGCCCCATTCCTCCATGGCATCCCACTGTGCCCTGTACCCCCCCAACCTGAAGCTGGCACTCACCGGGTTGGAAAGTGGTGGCAAGGTCAGGGGGCTGGAAGCTGGGCACGCTGTCCTGCAGCTCCAGCACTGCCACGTCAAAGGGGGACGCCTCAGTCGTGGCGAACACCAGGCGGGCCTGCAGGATAGTGTCACTGTGGGTGCAAAATGGGGATAAAATAAAGAAA